TATCTTAAAGAGCCTATCTCAAAATACAGTCATATTCTGAAGTCCTGGGGTAGGACTTTAGCATATGCATTTTTGGGGACGTAGCTCAGCCATAATAAGGTAACACACTAAATCTGCCTCACCGGACCCCAGCAAGCCATCCCCGCCAGTGTGCATGCCCTGGCAGTACAGTCGGTGTGCTCAGTGATACCCACTCAACCAGGACCCTTCAGGGCCTCTGGCTGCCACAGGAGAGAAAGAAGCCAGGGCCCTTGGGGCACACAGGCCACTGTCCACAGACAGGATTCTGTTTCCTTGTGGTGGCATCTGGGATTTCTGCTAACTGGAGATAGGGCTGGGAGGGGTCAAGCATCGGGCTGAACTTGACGGCTGATGGGCTCCAGCCCCCTGGGTTCAATAAAACATTTGAGCCACTCCACGCAGCTCTAGTAGCTTTTACTTTGTCGATGAGCATTTATTCTGCCAAGTGGGTGGGCACGTCACCACCGTGGTTGTGCATCTTGATATTTGCTGTGCTGGCCAGCAAGACTACAGGGATAGGTGAGGGACGTACTGGGGCTGCAGTGCTCTAGGGACTACCTCTCTGCTGTGAGACAGGTGACTGCCCTGCAACCAACCATACCCAGAGTGGAGTGCTCATCAGCCAGCATAAGCAGAAGAGCCACAGAACTTTGACTTTATGAAAACAAGTTAGGGGCAGCAAGGTGTTAGGATACAATGTGATGTTAATACATGGAGATCAATATAGGGCTGGTAGATGGACTCTGCCCTACTGTCCACCTGGCCGATTGTATAATCCTCCCAAGGCGGGCACTCGAGGACCCAGGAGGATTCTTTGTCCATGTCAACCAGCTATGGTGGACTCTGTTTGGATTCCTGAATGACACGAGTTTTCCTTCATTGATGTCCACTTTCTTTGCAGGGGCATTTGGCCAGCCCCTAAGGTCTGAGTTGTGGATGTGAGATACACACTTGGCAGCAAAGTAGCCTCATCTGCGAGAAGGAAGGTCCCTGGGAGTCTTCTTGTTCAAGCGGCTGGGGGCCACAGGAAGGCCATCCAGTTCCGGACTTATCACCTGATAACTGGCAGAGGATCAGGAATCCTAGAGATGGAAGCCCATGAGTGCAGCTGCAGTTGATTCCATGATAGACACCTGGTGCCAGTTTCTTGGCAGTTCTTCTCCCCTGGAATGTGGGGCATGGCACACAAGGGGACATCTCACCTGTGCCTCACTTGTATCTCAGTAGCCTGCAAGCATGTGCTTATACCCGTGCGGTTTCTGCTCTCAAGTGTGAAGTGAAACTCCTTTACCGAGTGGTGCCTTTTCTGTCTGCACTAATGTGCTGGCAGCATAGTTAGTGGTTGTGATGATTCTATCCTCCACACAGTGAAGGCAGCCCGAGGGATGGACGCCTCCTTCAGAAAGACGCTACAGAGTTTGAATTGATGCCTGCATATTGTGTTTCTGCCACATGTCCCTAGGCAGCATCATTCCCATGAAGTCACTGCCAAACCCTGGGTGGAGAGCTTTCTCTCCTGGAAACACAGACATGGCACCTTCTCAGTGGGGCAATGCTTGGGCAGCTTGTAGGGCTGAACCCAGCTCCAGACACGCTATGTTTGTACTGGGCACTCTTTTTTTCCTGTGCTTTTCCACATGGCGATTATGTCCTCCTTTCCAGTTCCCCGTAGGCCCTGCCACCCCCTTTTGTCTTTTTGCCCCTCTTATTTAGTTGCCTGCCAGTGCCGAAGGCATGAATTTGAGAGTTACAGAGCAAAAGTTTCTGTTTTTGGGGTCCAGGCCATCTTCTCCCTTTCCTCCCGCTTCTATCCTAAAACCACGAGGAGGCTCCAGGACAGAAAGTGAGCCCCACTCTGGCCATGCCTGTAGAGGTGTGAGGTGTGGGGCAATGGTGGAGCCGCAACTTCACAGGTGTGAGGCACCATTTGGAGCAACAACCAGCTCTTTACTTTCCACCCAGGCCCTCTCTCTAGACTGATAACACATGTATGCACAGCCATGTACCATGCACATACATGCACAGGTACACAGATGTGTGCATGCACATGCACACACAGGTATACTCACATGTCCATGCTCATGTGCTCACACACATGTGTGTACACACACAGTAGTTGTTTGCTACCTTTCCAGAGCACAGAGGAGGAAGTGTGTGGGTGAGTGAAGGGACATGCTTGCAGCCCTCTGGAGGTTCAGTCCCCTCTTCTGACCATGGGGTGGTGACAACTTGGAAACCTGTGAGAGGCAGGGCTTTGTGTGCCACTCCGTACCTGCCTGCTTCCATGCACCTGTGTCGTTGCCTAGTGTCTCCCCTGCTAGTCCACCAGCAAGTACCCGTGTTGACCCAGCATTGGTATGAAAATTTGAATTTGAGGTCTCCTTACAGGTGGTGAGGTTTTCAGTGCCAGGGCAGAGAACGATTCTGGGTTATCCTCTGGGAGGGTTTGGACATGGTCCCATCACCGTGCCCTCTTTCTCACAGCAGAGATTTAGCTTCCTGAAGGCGTCATCCAGTGCCCTAAATTCAGTACCTGGCCCATTTGCTGAGCCAGATGGTCTCTTGTCAACAAGCAGCAGTCAGACTGAGCATACACAGGGGGAACTGTGAGGGCTTCGGCCCAGTGTGGTCACAATGAGGTATATGTTGCGGGGTGAACCTGCCAGGGCCTGCTTTTCCTGCCCTCGTACGTCCACCGTTGTGAGGGCAACTGTGGGGTTTAGGGCCAGAAGGAAGCCGGTGGCTCTGGAGATCTGGACTGAGCTTGAGCGGGTGCCAGGTACGATGGGTCTTACACGGGTCTGTGGGCAGGCTGCAAGTTCAGCCCCTGCCCCGAGAAGGGGCCATGTCTCACTAGTCCCTCCTGGGGCAGGAAGAAGTGGGAAGGCACCTCTGTTCACTGGTAACAAGGTGGCTCTCCCCGCTTCTTTGGGAACGAGGTGGTGCATTGGAGGGTCCTGCCCATGAAGGGAGGCTGGTCTAGAAGACAGGTCAAAATTCTGGGACTGAATTTGCGTCTGGGAAGCAAAGGGACAGGGCCTTCGTTGCTCATTTGTAAGTTCAAGGCCTCAAGGCCTCAGAGGCACAGCTTTTTCGCAGGCCCTGGCCACTACTCTTTTTTTCCTTCAAGGCAGTAAAGCAGGAGAGAGGCTGGAAAAATGTATCCTGCCTCTCCCAATCCTGTTCTCATTTCATCATGGAGGGAATCACTGGGTGATACCAAGCTTATGGTACTCCTGTGCAGGAACCTGGGAGGTCTGCTGAGTTGTAGAGGGGACGTGTTCGCTCCCAGGAGTAGGAAGGCAAGAGGCGCCAGGCACAGTCATGGTGTCAAGAAGGCAGGAGCAGGATGGCAGCCGGTACCCTGCCCTGCCTCTCATCTCTATGCCTTGGCATCTGTGAGGATGTCGGCCTATCAGTCAGGGTGAGGGCTGGGTCTGCCTTATTCTTGGCTGTGTCCAGGTCTAAGCTCCTGGTGGATTGGGGCTCAGGCGGCATCTGCTGGACAAATGAGTGAGTGAATAAGCTCCTATGAAAAATCCCAGGAAGGCTTCTCCTTGCCTTGTCTGGGTCACGTGTCCATCCACCCAGTCACTGGAGCCAGGGCAGGGAGATACCATAGATGGCCCTGTGTGTCTGTTCAGCTGCATTGGGGTTTCCTCTCCCCACTCCAGGGGTCTGGGCCAGCATCTCAAGCCAATTGAGTCAGGACTGGTGGACCCTCCGTGAGCAAGACCCTGTAGCCAGGGGAGAGTGACACTGGGCAACACCACGCTGAGGAGAGGGGAAGCCAGAGCGAATGGAGGATACTGGCTTGATGGAGAAGGAAGTTGAGACAAGGGAAACTAAAACCTATGGAAAGAAACTCTCTTATATTCAACAAACTAGATTGTAAAACAACCACATGCTAATTCTTAGGTAGAACAGAGGGTGAATCAAGTGTCAGTTTTGTGCTGTGTGTGTGCATGTCTAATATTGCCCACACATTTGAATGTATGTGTGATTTGGTTTATTTCTCTCTCCCTTTTCTCTGTATGCTTATGAAGAGAGCCTTTTATTAAAATACGTTTGAGGGTTTCATCACTTTTCCAATGAACTTCTCTTAATCCTTGGAACTCAGATCCAGGGAAACAAGGCATTTGCACCTCGGAGCAGGGGGACCTCACATGCAAAGGCCCTGAGGTGGGATGGCCTTGCTGTGTGTGTAGAACACTGAGAAGCCCGGTGGGCTGGAGCAGAGTGGAGGTGGATGAAGTGTGTCACAGGCTGATGGGGACATGAAAGGAGCCTGGGTTTGCTCAGAGTATGGTGGCTTCATGTCATGATTCCAAGTTAGAACACCCTGCGGGTTTGGTGGGAAGTGACCCTTTGAGTTTAGGGTTTCCTGCCACAAAGTCCTGGCATGTCCTGACATTTTGGAAACTGGGTTGGGAGAACCGAGAAGTTTCCAGAGAACAGGAAATAGCAAATTGTTAATTATTTACTGTCAACCATTCTTCATTTAAGTGGAGTAAAATTGCATGGCCACTTCTTTTGGTGGCTATCTTTGTCATTTTAGTTTAGTTTGAATAAAAAGTCGTTCCTAAGAGTTGATTTCATTGTCCAGAGGGCCTGGGACCCCACTCCTCCCAGAGCCTCTTTTCTGTGGCTTTTCCACCAGAGGGAGCATGAGGACCTCATGTCTGGGATGCAGCCAACGGTTTGGAATTTTGGGTGGTCACCTGAGGTGTGAGCACAGCCCCAGCGGTGAAATGCAGAGGGACTTGGGACCGTGGGTCAGGGGACTTGGGGTCAGGGGACGAACAGGTGGCCTGAGCCTCTGCTTAAGTTTTGTCCCTGCAGATTCAGGCGTGGAAAACTGACGGAAGAGCTGGCTGCTGCTCAGGGTAGAAGATCCCGGGCTGAGCCCCCTCGGGCCTGGGGACAAGGCCACCCACTGCCCACCCACTCACAACCCCGGCCCCTCTCTCCCACAGAGATCAGACCCACAGCTGCTTGCCCGCTTCTACTATGCTGATGAGGAACTGAACCAGGTGGCTGCGGAGCTGGACAGCCTGGACGGGCGGAAGGACCCCCAGCGGTGCACATTGCTTGTCAGCCAATTCCGCTCCTGCCAGGTGAGCCGGGTACAGGTGGGCAGCTGGCCCAGATGCACATCAGCTTTTCCTGTGTAGACTGAGGCCATGTCACTTGTTCTCACCCTGTCGGGATGTCTGCAGGGTCGGCCTGGGCCAGGTGCTGGAGACACTGGACCCAGAAGGAAAGACGATGCTGGCAGGACAACATGGGGTAAAGAGTCAGACTGGAAGTGAGAATGTGCTCAGGACTCAGCAGAAATTGGGGGGCTCGGGTGGGGGTACAGAGCCAGCGGGCATCTGAGCCCAGGAGTAGCCAGCATGGGAAGGATTGGGCCTGCCTAGGCGCCTGTGCAGAGCTCAGTGAGATGCTACGTCGTGCTGCTGCTGACTCACAGTGCTGCCAGTATCTGCTGCATAATTCAGAGATGGCCCTGGAAGCTGCTGCTAAAAATATCCTCACCAAGGCTTTCTTCCCTTACCAAACATTCATGAGAAGCAAGTATGGTGCACAGTTTCATCAACTGACAATCAGGGTTTTTCACAAAGTTCCTGATTGTTCTTGGCATATTCTGCCTACAAAGTCTTGCTGGATACTCACTGCCCTGGAGGTGGCCACCCAACAGGGGAAGTCTGTCACTACATCACTGTGGCCCTGAGGATCCCACCCAGTGGGACCTGGCCCCATTCCTGCTCCAGTGGGGGGCAGCGTTAGGACCTTGTCTGTGGCCAGGATGACTTTTCTGGCCAACTCCGTCTCTGGGTTCTTTGAGCTGCCTCTACCCAGTATGTGTATATGTATTCAGATGATCAGACAAACATTCTGGACCCCTGAGGGGCAGCTTCTGCAACCAATGAGAGTCCCTGCCCCCAAGAGCTTGTGTTAGAAACAGTTCCTGCCCAGAGGACAGCTACTAGGGATCCCTGGAGATACTAGGTACTAGGGACCTTTAATGGTACTAGGTACAAGTATCAGAGACCCCTAAGTACTGAGTATGGTTATAAGTAAGTACTAAGTACTAGGTATGATTTTAGGTACCCCTGGAGCCTGGGAGAGGGAAAGTCCACAGAGGAGAGATGCTTGGAGGACTCTGAAGACCTGTGCCCTGCAGTCACATTGTGAGGAAGGGAACTCAGGGAAGCTGTTCACCACCGTCACCTTTGGGGAGGGTTGTTTATTTTTGCATGCTGTAACTCAGACCTGTGTGCTTTTCGTTGATTGATGGTATTGATGATAAAGCATGGTTTTAAGTGAGTTTGGGAGGTGGAGTGGGTGGGTGGAGGCTGCAACGCTGAGTGGTCTCTTCTGGGGCTGGCCCAGTAGCCTTTAATGGGTTGTCTCACAGAACTGCTCCGTGAGAAGGATCTGGAAGGGAGCGCTCCCAGGCACAGACAGTGGTGGTGACTTAAGCACACACATTCTCCTTGTTGCTAGGGTTCATGAAGGAATCATTTGGGCGTAGACATTGCCCAGACCCTCAGCATCGTTGGCCTCAGGGTCATTTCTTCCTCTTCCATGTTCTCTGTCCATTCTGTTCTAGGGCCTCACCCCTCACTGCTCACCTCACACCCCACTGGTAACTTCTTCAGCTCCTTTGTGGCCTTCCTTCTCCCTTCCCCTCTTCCCCCTCTCCCCTTGCTTCTCAAGAGTCTTAAGCATAGGACCTGGGCACAGCCATAGGCCCCTTTCTGTCCCCTCCATGACAGTCTCATCCTGCTCATGGTGTAAGCACCGTGTGTGCCCCAAGTGACCCTCTCAGCCTCACCTCCCTCCCAGACCCAAGTGCGCTCCCCAGGTCCCGGGACACTTGGGACATCTCACAGATGACTCAGACCCAGCAGGCTCAGAAGTTAACCCCAGTGCAATTGACCCTTGAGCAACACAGGTTTGCACTGCACAGGCCCACCGAGTGCAGATAAAAAGACAGTGTTCTTCCGTTGCAAAATCCACGTTTAAAGAGGACTGACTTTTGCACACGCAGGTTCCACAGGGTTGACTTGTGGTACTTGAGTATGTGCAGATTTGGGTATACGAGGGTGGTCCTGGAGCCGGTCCCCATGATATACCTAGGGACAGTATTTCATATCTTTTCATGATATAAATGGCATTGCTTTTTAAAGTTCAAATTTTGATTGTCTGGTGCTAATATATGTTATTTATGTAGGTCCTGGGCTTATATATATTTTGTATATTTGATCTTATATCCAAAACTTTTCTGTAGGAATATAGATAAAAACAGTTTTTCCTACTGTGTACTCTCACATAGTCACTGAGCTCTCTGTGGCCACACATATGGGGGTTTTTCGCACACACCAAACAGTTCTCCAGCAGGTTCTCCAATGAATGCCATGTGGGTATCCTCTAATTCAACTCAATTCTTATTTTGTCTGTCTGGAGATTGCTCATACCCCACAGGCTGAGGGCTCATTCCCACAAGACCACCTCTCACTTCAGATGCCAGTTTCAAGCCCCAGGGGCCTGTGCCTCTGATCAACTGAGTATCTATCGGGGCTCCCAGAGCCCCTTCCTGGGGTTTGATTAATTTTCCAGAGAAGCCCACAGAACTCAGGAAAGCACTTTATTTACATTTATCAGTTTATAGATAAAGGATATAATAGAGGATACTGATGAACAAACAGATGAAGAGATACATAGGGCAAGGTCTGGAAGGGTCCCAAGGAAGGGATTCTGTTTCCATGGAGTTGGGGTACACCACCCTCCTGGTAGGCACATATGTTTGCCAACCTGGACACTCTCTGAACCCCGTCCTTTTGGGTTTCTACAGATTATTTAGGCATGACTGAGTATGTCATTGACCATCGGTCATCAACTCAACCTTCTGCCCCTCAACCCTCTCCCTGGAGGCTGGAGGTGAGACTGAAAGTCCCACCCTTCTAATCATACCTTGGTGTCCAGTGACCTGTCTTTCATCCTGAAGCTGTCTAAGGACCTCAACCACCAGTCATCTCATCAGCTTACAAAAGGCACTCTGTCACTCTGAAGATTCAAAGGCTTTTAGGAGCTGTGTGCCAGGAAATGAGAAGATATAATGTATTTTACAATGTCATACTTTCTTTCTTTCTTTCTTTTTTGAGAAAGCAGGATTTATTGAGAAGACAGAAAAACTCCCAGAGTGGGAGGGGACCCGAAGGGGTTGCCCCCCCCCTTTTTTTTTTTTTGAGTTGGAGTCTCACCCTGTCGCCCAGGCTGGAGTGCAGTGGCACGCTCATGGCCATCCCAGCGTTGACCTGCTGGGCTTTGGCAAGCCTTCCACCTCAGTCTTCCAAGTAGTCAGAACTACAGGTGTGTGCTACCACACCCGGCAAATTTTTTTGTTTATTGTAGAGATGAGGTCTTGCCAAGTTGCCTGGGCTGGTCTCGAACCCGCGGGCTCAGCCAAACCACTCGCCTCAGCCTCCCAAAGTGCTGGGATTATAGGCTGAGCTACCGAGCCTGGCTACAATATCATACTTTCTAAAATCACTTATTCTGACAGTTTTTTGGGGGTTTTTTGGTAGATTTTATTAGATTTTTTGCATAGATCTTTTTTTGTGTAAATAAAGATATCTTCACTTCTTCATAGCTGGATGCTGTGAGTGTGTGTGTGTGTGTGTGTGTTGCCCTGTTGCATTGACTGGAAATCCAATACAATGTTGAATAGCAGTGGTGAGAGCAGACATCTTTTGTCCTTATCTTCAGGGAGAAAGCATTCAGTCTTTCATCATGAAGTATGATGTTAGCTCTCAGATGCTGGCTGTAGATACCCTCTGTCAGACCAGGGAAGTTACCTTCTATTCTTAGCTTGCCGAGAGTTCTTATCAGAAACGGATGTTGGATTTTTTTTTTTTTTTGAGTTGGAGTCTCACTCTGTCGCCCAGACTGGAGTGCAGTGGCTGCTCCTGGCCACCACAGCCTCGACCTGCTGGGCTCCGGCGATCCTTCCGCCTCAGCCTTCCGAGTAGCCGGAATTACAGGCGCACGCTACCACGCCTGGCTAATTTTTTGATTTTATTGTAGAGATGAGGTCTCGCCTGCCCAGGCGGGTCTCGAACCCGCGGGCTCAGGCAATCCACTCACCTCAGCCTCCCAAAGGCGTGGGATTACAGGCTGAGCCACTGAACCCAGGATTTTTTCAAATGCTTTCTTTGTGTCTATTGAGATTATGTGTTATTTTTTAATACGGTAGATTACGTTGATTGAGTTTTTCATTCAATAAATATCGACTATTTTTATTGTTATTTACCCATTACCAACAACAACAACTGCATCACACAGGTGACATGAGGGCAGGACTGTGTCTGTATATGGCATTCACTAATAGATCCCCAGTATCTAGCATATAGTAGGCACTCAGTAATAGCATTGAAAAAGGAACTCTTGGCTGACTAATTTAAGTTTTAATTTTTCTTCTTCTTCTTTTTTTTTTTAAGAGATAGGATTGACTGGGCTCGGTGACTCAACCTGTCATCCCAGCACTTTGAGAGGCTGAGGAGAGTGGATTGCCTGAGCCGAGGGTTCGAGACCAGTCCAAGCAACTTGGCAAGACCTCGTCTCTACAATAAATCAAAAAATAAGTCGGAGGTGGTAGCGCATGCCTGTAGTTCTGGCTACTTGGAAGGCTGAGTCAGAAGGACCGCTGGAGCCCAGCAGGTCGGCACTGGGGTGGCCGTGAGTGTGTGTGCCACTGTACTCCAGCCTGGGGGACAGAGTGAAACTCCAACTCAAAAAAAAGAGAGAGAGAGAGATAGGATCTCTGTCACCCAGACTGGAATTCAGCAGTGTGATCATACCTCACTGCAGCCTTGAACTCCTGGGCTCAAATGATCCTCCTGCTTTCACCTCTTGAGTAGCTAGGGTTAAAAGACGTGCACCAACACACCTGGCTAATTTTTTTATTTTTTGTAGAGAAGGGTCTTGCTATGTTGCCCAGGCTGGCCTTGAACTCCTGGCCTCAAGTGATTCTACCATCTCAACCTCCTAAAGTGCTGGGATTACAGGTGTGAGCGACTGAGTTCAGCCTCATTTTCTCTTTTAATAATGT